TCCAGGCACATATTTCCCGTTGTTGTCAAGCCCTCAAACGTTACTGATATTTCACGTCCCCACAAGTGTAGCGTCAGCACTTTTTTACGTAGACTTTTTGAACCCTCCATCTGTTATTAGTATAGATCCTGAGATTGAAGTAGTTGCTAAGGTATGATGTGATTAGGATAGCGCCTTCGTCTCGAGTCTTCTTTGATTTAATCAACCATTGAAGGTTCAGTTCTCCTGGTAAGCAAACTTCTTCATTTACACCTAAGCCTTTTACGGAGCCTAAATGAACTCTGTGATGTTATTCGCAGGAGATTAGAAGACGTGGGGCATGTCCTACCCCTCTTTCACCATCGCAACGCCCAAGGCATGTGTCCGCAGGTCGCCTCATCATAAGCACACAGCGGGGCTGACGACCCAATAGCCCTTGCGACATTCGACACTTCGGTTGTATTTTGCGGGAAAACTTACCAGAAGGGAAATTTTCCTTGATTCTTGAAATGGTTTTTATATCCTATCTTGTTCCCCCTTTCTTTGTTTTTCTGCTAGTCTTGATTATTGTCTTCTTGCGTTAAGTCGGGTTGCTTATTCATTGGGCCCGGTGAAGGGGGTTTTTTTGTAATGGCAACTTGTTTTTTTCCAGTTAAACGTAATACCGCTAGTCGGTGCCGTTTTTGGCTGTTCCATTTTGATGCTTATAATTTTTACAGCTCGTTTCAAATTCTGTTGAGTAGTTATTTAAGAGTTTTCGTCGTTAGAACATTGCAAAGGACGACAAACATTAGCAACTAATTTAGTCTATTCTACGTCTAAACTTCAACCACTCGAAATCGTGTCGTGGGTGAATGAATTTCCACTGCAGTAGCGTGTCTTTTAGTAAGACCGACTATTAGAGGAGATTTTCTTACAGCTTTCGTTGAGCGGAGTAAATAGAAGGTGAGTTTGGAGCGCAGTACTGTAGCCAATCCGCTTCCAGTTACTGCAAAACTATGCTGCTTAGTTTGTAAATGCAATTGTGGGATTTCCCGAAAGGTGCAAAACGGTGCCAAGTGTCTTCCATTCCTCTTGCACCAGTGTAGCGTATGATCACTCAGCGATGTGCTCCGAGTCCTCTTTGAGGACGTTATTAAAGCTGCACCAGTTTAAATGGGAGCTTGTGGTAAATGTTAGGAATGGTTAATGCGCTGTTCATGGAAGTGACAGGAAGGTGACACATGCCTCCAAAGGTGGTGCCCGAAAATCATAGAGGTTAAAAAATACTTAGATCCGTTACATAATGTCACACTTTTAAGACATCCTTGGTGCTTGTCAGGATCACTCTTCTGCACCACTCATCTCACAGGGCTCAGTGCCTTAGGAAAATCAACCACAGCAAAGGCAACACTTTGAATTTTCAGCAAGGCAGAAAGACATTTGGTCCTAGGGCCACCGATGTATCTCGTCAATTTCGATGGATCTAGAGTCAAATTCTCTTAACTAATCAAATTCCAAATATTCACCCACTTTGTACTTCCTAAGGTGGGACGTTGCTTTACAATGGGAACATCATCCTTAATCGCCTTTTAATATTCGGGTCTCTAGACCAGTGGAGGACCTTAGCAACTGCGTTTCTACCTCTCATTCTTTGGAAGCGCTTGATCCTGCCTCTGCGAGAGGGGGGAACATCGACGTCCTCCAGACCTCTACTGCCGCTACCACCGCCCCTTCCGCTGTTCTTCCATCCCTCTTGACTGTGGGTTGGACCGAAGAACGTATCCAAATGCGGTCAAGGAGATGGCTAAAGGAACCAGAGGAGAGGGGGGAGGGGGCGAGGGTGGAGGGGTCGCAATTATTGGCAAGTCGTCCAGAGGTGGATATGGGGAAATTTGGTGAAGGTAAGTGTTTTAGCTTCATTAGATGTATGTATTATTATGAGATACCTTTTGAGCACAGAGAGAATAATATTTGCAAAATGATTCGTGAGGATTTATCCCCTTAGGCTTGGATTGTTGTTTAGAGAGCACAGTTTTCATTCTTTTCTTGTAAAGATGAAAAATGTTTAGTAGAACGCGCAATCTATAGTGGATTCATGACTAGACGTTTTTATCTAATTTTCCCATTTCATTATGCTGCCGCTTAGCCGCCTATATGATCTATTCGCGGCTTTCTGGGCAGTGGGGAGGCATATGGTCTTCAAATGATGCTCATAATCAAAGATTTTCTGTTAATGCTGTATAGGTGTTAAATCGTTTAAACCTGTTCTCGATTTTAACGGTTTATTGTCAGCCGTTGAGGTATTTACTAAAAGCCAATGCGGTTTTGCTAACCCTTCTGACGTGAGGCTTCTCCGATTCGGGAATTGTCGGCGGTGGGGGGTTAGGGTTGCCTTCCTGCTCTGAAGTTTTTTAGTAGACAGTCGAGCATTTGACCTTGTCGGCCCAGTAATTCAGTGATAGTAATGCTGCAAATCGCAGTTTACATTTGCTCAGGTTAAAAATTCGTGAAGACTGAATTGCTCATTTTTTCTCTTTGTGAGTGTTTTAGCGTTCTACTCTTCCAAATGTAGCATTATCATCAGATACGGCAAAGTAAGAACTATTCTATTCAGAATCCAAGCGCTGTAGTGTAAATTATGCAGCTTAAGTCGTTCTTACACTGTGAGAAACCCTTTGCCAGGGATAAGAATAGGACACTATTTCATATTGATAATGAAGTAGATGGGAAGGCCCAATCAACCTTTGATTGATCCAGAGTTTTGAAGACGCTACAAATCAGTAACGCGTCAATATCATGTGTCCTATTTGACATTCTCTACCAACGTTTCAAATATATGACACGCTCTTAATTAGGGTTGGTTGCACCAAGTCATAACACAAACAGCTTTGTTGACTTCAAAATGGCTGTTAATAGCTGTAAGATGTTTTTGATCGGAGAAACATCGCACTTTTTAGTTTTTGAGCGGTAAGTTAAGCAACTAAACAAGGATGTGCTTTGTGGTGATTTTATATTGTTGGAGTTGCATCGTGAGAAGACTACAGCAAAGCTCAAATTCATTTGAATGGAAAATTTGGGCACAGTCACATGACTTATCACGATGAAATACGACTTACTATTTTATTTTCTCCCAAGCTCTTTTGGGAAATCATGTTTTGTGTCAATTTTAGAATACTATTTTCAACCAATCTTATTAAGACTGATCGGGAATCTACTAAACTTTGCGTAAAACTACCTTAATTCTCTTAATATTTCTCACGATCAGACTCTGTTCATGTCACCACCTGTGCTACTACTTTCCCAGTTCTGCTTTGCGCTCATAATAAACCCCCTTTCTGTTTCTAATATCTTGTGACATCTTTGAGGTCGATTCAGAGTCTGTACGGGAGTCGCGATTAACCGACTACCAACTTCCAAAATCGTACACATACCTTCAGCGTTACTGCGATCATAAGATGCAAACAGCAAAAGACGAAGTGATAATAATCCTATTTCCACAATGCGAACGCAAAAATGAATGTGTCCTGATAAAATATATTTATCCTGAAAAGGCTCTTAATGTTAAAGTATGATTTCTTCCTTAGAATGCGTAGGTCATATTAACAGGTTTCCTAGGCGGGTCTCAAGGAAAAAATGACTACCACAGTGCAGGTGTTTTTCCCATTGTTTCTTTTGCCATTTCTAGTCCAATTTACTTATTTTTAATTAAGTGTACGAGATGTGTATGGCATGTGCATTCGGGTAAGAAAGTCGGGGCGTCGCTTGTACGTGACCCTAGCAGCCTAGATGTTAAGTGCGAGTTCAACTCAGAACTCCGCTTTGGGATTTATTGTCTTTACCAATGCATCTACTACTACAGACATTTGAACAAACGAACAAGAACCACTAGAAGTTGGTTATCTAACACAACTTTAAATCTGGATGAATTCGTTAGTACAGTTTTGAGTGCGAACGCATATGCAGCCTAACAAATCACAATTTTGTCCGGACGAATTCCATGCTAGACTTTTGAATGTTCTGTTAACGGGAAACCTAGTGTGTTCTTCTTCGATGTGCCTACCAGGATGTCATCGGTACACCGAGAGTTTGTATTTCTAAAGTACTTACTGCTGCGAGGCAAAAAGTTGACCGATCAAGCTTACTGTCAGGACTAACTACTCTTAACCCACCTATGGACTTACAATAACCAGTCGCGGCTTGTGATTTGGGTGTCAGAAGTATTTCTCACTAGATTGCGAACTTTACAAACCTGTGAGTGTAGTAATCTTCGGATTTGCAACCGAAGATGACGTTGTTGTTCGTCGCGCACAGCAATTTTTCAACTATTTCAAGCCTTTTTATTACACCTACCTTTGTTTCACTTTGTTATCAAGTTACGAAGAACCCTAGGCTGTGACTCTATTTTTAAATTACTTGGATTTTGTGGGATAATTGTTGAAACTGTTGAATTAGGAGAAAAGTAGCTGCATGTTTTTGGACTTCGATTCTACTATTTGGATAACAACTCTCGGCGCAATCAATGGCCTGTTGCGTTTAAGATACGTTCACAAATTTCTTTTTACATCTTCGACGCAAGAGTCTGTCGTCAAACTGTTTAATAGTTTCGTTATGGCGCAAGTTGTCATTTGGTTTTTTATTAGTTGAACTGCTCCCCACAAACTTTGTCACATGTGTGATATCAGTGCCAGATGAGTAAATTGGGCCCCAAGTGCTAGACGCTGGTAGCGAATGTGTTAATAGTGTGCCGAGGTTTGTGCTAGTTTCGCGTGAAAATTTCCAAACAACTGATGATTTTAAAAGATTTGACATTTAGGATACCGTGGTTCTCTCCAGCCTTCCAACCCTCCTGTATTTCGATATGTGGATAATAACACCACAAGCACAAGGGGCTTCGACGCTACTTATGAAATTTTCATTATGAAAGATAAATATGTACTAAGGGAAGTCTTTGACTTCATAAGAAATTGCTCAGAAGATAAGTGGGCCCAGACAGTAGAAGTTTCATTCCTAAATTGGGCAGATTTTAAAGGTGAAAGGGCTTTTTTTTAGATTTCCCTTTCACTTACAAAGCTTGATTAAGAAGCTCAAGTGTCAGAAAATGGCAATACGATTAGGAAACATAACTTAAGTGCATTCAGGAAAACAACTATTTCTAAACCCTTACTGCACTGCAATGTGGCATCACCGAATGCCCTTTCTCACTTAACTGAAGCACTCTAAGCCTTTTTTGTGGAGTTAACATGTAAAGTTATTTTGCATTTAGAAATAAGTGGCTAAAGCTTAGTAATTTGTGCAATTAGGCAAGTACTTCACTCCACGGGCTCGTTTTTTACGATCGAATTGCACTACTTACACTGCTATTCTAGTAGTAGTACTTCAACTTATTTCGTGCTTAGAATTTTTGCATATATATCTGCATTGTTCAATAACGATTAAAGCATTAAATGTTGCTAATTTTTCTTCTTAAATCCAGCTTCCACTCCCATCGGAGTCTCTTTCACCATCACTTCCCTATGAGGGCCAAATTCTGTCGTTTCAACGGATATTTTCAGAATTTATGGAAATAAGTATGCACTTGCTCTGAATACTCCTTCTCAAATCTAGGTGTCGTTTCTTGAAAGGCTTCAATCATTTCAAGTAAGGCCTCGTAATCTCATTCGTAGAAATCGTAATGAAAAATAATAGTTTCTATAATTGTGTAGTCTGCAAAGCAACGTATTTTGGTAAGGGATATTCCTTTTCCATAAATCCATCACCCTCGGCTAGAACAATTGGTACAATTGGTAGCTCGTCTGACGTACCTCGTATCTCATCAGCTAAACTCAATTCCTCCGTCAAAACAAGACAATGCATATATGGAACAATGTCTAAGGGAAAATTTTACCTGATTAGGTTGCAAAGCATTCTCTTTTAGCGTGATTTGTTTTTGTTTTACTGAAATGTATATCTTAAACTTCCTTCCAATCCTTCCTTTGCAGGCAATGTCCTAATCAATGATTCCGATGCTCTATCGACCAACTTTCCCGCCTCCTCCTCGCCAACAGACGAGCAGATGTCCTCGGGCGGGGAGTACATCAGCCCCACCTCTGTGTCCATCGATCAGGAGGAAGTAGACGAGACAGAGTGTTTCTCCTCTCCCCTTCCCCATCAGCCATCCTCTCTCTTCCCATTTGTTACCAACCCATTTGAACTGATTCAACGAATCAAGGAGGAAGGAGAAGAAGAAGGTGAGGCATATGTTTTTGTGATACCTAGCTATGTCTTGAAGGCGTTAAAAGACGTATGAAATTCGGTCTATTATCGATGTGCAGATAAGCTGGGGGAATAGCAGCGTAATTGATTGAAAAGCCTGGGTAGTTAGATCCAAAGTTACTCGTTTACACAGACATTCTATCACCCCTTTTATACGTTGTTCTCAGCACTCCCTTTACTTTTCTACTTCGACCAACGCATTCTAGCTGGGTGTACCATAGTCACTTGTGATGTAAGAATAAAAATCATGCTGCGGTTATTAAGCATGGTAATGAGACTTTACTCCAGCAATATCCTGGAGTACTACGTGCACTCTAAGGAATCTTTCGTCGTTTTTTCCAAATGGCTGAATGGTTCTTGTAGGAAACTAATCTCTTCGTGGGAACGGTTACCTAAAACCACAAACAGTCAATAAATCCCACAATTCTTCATCCATTCCTTCCATCCACTCTCTTGCCAATTTACAGCCGTCTGGTCGTCGTCTATCTGGATTATTTTCAGTTTCTTGCAATGTGGGCACACACTGAGTAGTTCTTATATTCAATCCTCTGGAGAATATCTCAATACCCGTAAAGTACCGGCCGTTAGGCCGAATTCTAGGTTAGGGTAGTTGCTAAGGCTCAATAGACCTTCCATTTTAAGTCTTCGTGAAGTAAACTATCCGTGGCTGATGTCTTCTTTCTAAGATGCATTGACTTAATATCTTTGAGAGTTGGTCTGTCAATGCTGCCACTGGTAAATTGTTCGAGATGTGCCAGAAAATTCTGCAATGCATTTGACTTTGGACGAAGCTTTTTGTAAACGCGCGAAATGGTTGGGAGATCTTATCAGGCCTTTACGGGATCAGCGCCGTAGTAAGATCTGATTCTTTTTCCCGTTTGTCTCCTCCCGTGTTAAATCCCTACATATTTACCCATCCACAGAGGTGTCTTGACTCTATGGCCTCCCAGTATGGTATCCAGACAACAAAGTCGGGATCGTTATTTTTTTTTCAACGGACATTACCACCAATGTTATACCCAAATTATCTCTGAAACCACTGAAACGTCCGAGATTACGGGACTATTTAGGTTTTGAACATGGACCATACAGAGCCCACGCCAGTAGCGTGAAATACAAAAGTCTGGAGACTGGAAAGGCACACTTAGAGCGAAAACTACCTCACTCCTGTTTGAAGAGTGAACGCGTACGTTGCGACACCAGCAACTAGCACTACTACTCTTTCACTACCACTTTCATTTAAGTTGCCTTTTCGAAGTGGTAAATTCTTGATGCAAAATACGGAGTGAGAGATGACGGCAGTTCCTGAGCATAGCCTACCTACATTTTCAAGGCGTGTAAGTTTAATGGATATTGGGTAACACAAGTCAAAAAATGACAATCCTTAGGAGATAGATAGCTTAACCCTGTCATTCCTTTGTTCACTTACAGGATTAACCTCTTCCTTCTCCTCCTCATCATCATCATCCCCTCCCTCTTCGCATGAAAACACAAGTATTAGCCCTTCCACCACATCGTCTAATATCCATACGACTGACGTCACCGCCTCCGCCTCCCTTGCTACCGATTCCCGCATTCCCGACTTTTCCTCCCTCCCCATTCACCCGCGAGTTCCGGGCTCCACGGGTCGGAGCAATAGTGGGGGTGGTGGTGATGGTGGGAGTAGTGGTGGCAGTAATGCTGCGGTCGAAGGCCCATTTCACACATGCCCGCACGTGCGTCCCTCCTCACTGCTATCTCAACATCAGCGGAAGATGCTGGGTGCTGACTCGGGCTTCCATTTCCACATTCTTTCCTCCACTTCCGCCTCTACATCCGTCTCATCCTCCACTGGTGTCGGTGACTGTGCGGCGATTGTTGTGGGAACAGCGGCAGAGGGGTCAGCGAACAAGCGATGTAGCCTCTCCTCTGGGTTTCAGTCCCATTCACGCAACTCTAGTTTTGATTCCGCTGGTTTATCAAGGTGAGACTTTAGCTGGCATCACATTATCCCTTTCCCTTTCCTCTCTTTAATTTTGCTATTGTTTGAAAGGTTTGGATGTTCATAAATACCCATGTTTTGTAAGCACACATGAGCAGGAAGGCTAGATATGTAGATGTCATAATTGGCCCTCCCAACGGTTGATGAAAAGCTCTTGGTTGATGTAGACACCTGCGAAAGTTGCTAAAATCTTATTTTAATTTTTTTCGCACTACTTTACTTAAAAGAAAGAAGCTCACAGATGGGGTTATTAGTGGAAATACAGACAGGTTGAAGTACTGGGTAACTGAAGGATCCGATTAGAGCTGCATGCTGCTAAGGTTACTCAATGTGTGCTGCATTTTCGGAATCACAAGTGTTTGTGAATGGCCATGTTCACCGTTTCTACAAAAAAATTGGTCCCTTATGCAATTTCAAGACAGGCTATCCAGGTTTAGGTATGTCACGGGCTTGTTGAACATTTACGGGAGTAAATGTAGTGTTACAAGCAAGGAATCACAAGGGCCCAGATCTTTACTGATCGACAGGCGTACAACTTTTGAATAGTCAATACCATTCGATTATTCTGCTGCTAGGTTCTCCTTTATTGGGTTTTGTGTGTCCGAAGTCTTCTGTACGATTTGATATGTTCTTTTAGCGTAAATTGTTGTATTCGCGTGGTCACTGCCACCGTTGCCTGTCATCTTGATGAACTGTGCGGACTAACCCGACCTACAAAATATGCCGTCCATTTGCCATTTATCACTGCGTGTAGCATTGTTGCAGTAGTGGTTCTTGTATTTTTGTAAACTACAAGTCCCTCTCGTACATACCTGAGTTAAGCTATCCGTAATTTTGATCTTGTTCAGTTGCAAACGATCTTACTGGTGGAAGTACAGAGAGGGTAGAGGTCTGGAAGGCCAAAATGAGAATTCGCAGAAATTTGAATAACTGATACTTGAATAAATATACAGGTGATAATTTCCGTCCACCCCAGACCTCCATTTTTATGCCGTGAGGCTTTGATGTGTCCACCTTTTTCAAAGTAATCTTATTTTCAACTTGTATTTTTTTTTAATCTTATGGGCTCTTTCAAGTCCGGTTTTAATGAAACATTCGGGATTGTCAGTTAATTTGGTTGGTTTTTTTTCAAGGAATCTCATTCAGTGATATTAACTAAATCCAATATAGTACGAGATAGAATCAGTGCTGGGCCATTTTAAAAGGCAAGACTACCGCAAAAAATGGGCATTTCATGTTTTTTTGTCAGCAGTTTGACCAATTAGACACAACTTACAATTCAAATAATCGTAAAACTCGTAAAAATGACAGCCCAATTGCTTTCTCCTTTGACTGATTTTCCTATGCATAATTCTAATAGCTTTGCCACTACTCGGTTATGCTGTTTAATTGTGATTACGGTATGTCTCCTACATGGTTACTACCTATACACCACATGAGGTCACCCTTTTAATGCATCGTCTACAATAAATCGTATTTAAGACTCTGATTTCATCGTCCATGAGTTTTACGGCGTACATTAAGGGCTACACAAGGGTCACGTTGTTGGGAAAATCTCATTGCTTTGTTGCAGTCCCCAGTTTTATTTGCTCTCACTGAGATCTGAAACGGTCATGTGGTCGAATTGCTAGTCAAGTCTAACATTGTATTCCATCACTCCGATCTTTTAATGATGCCTCGACCAACCTGCATTTTTACTCATTATTAAGGCGGCAATACGCTTTCCCGGTTGCTACGGTGGCAGGATAATCAAATAAGCACTTAGCTTTGTGCATTGTAGTCGAAAGAAAGACATCGAATTAAGTGGACCTGTACTTACACCCTTTTGAATACTGAATCCCTTTTTTGGCTTTTCTTTTAGATGCTTCCCTGGTGAATTGGTGAGTACTTTGCTTTTCATCCTCTTTATTTTCCAAATAGTTTTTTTTGAAAAAATGAGGACGTTTTAAAGTTCGCTTCGAACAAATCACTAGCAGTGTTTTAGTGCAAGTTGAATGGCTAAAGGGTCCACTTTTACTCCAAAAATATCTACAAGAATGAAGAACCCAATTGCTGGAAATGGTTCACTTCGAGGAGGATGAAGTTACATATTTGTCTGTCCTTTAACACCCAGGTTCCCCTTCAAGCCATCCCCTTTTTTGTTTTACGTTTTACAGGTAGTGAAATTGACCCATGAACATTTTTCAGTTGCTTTTTCATTCAATGCTACTTAGAAGTTGGGATCGAGATTATCCTCAATCTTTTAATGCGATTTTTTCTGTACAAACATGTTTAAAGGACAGTTTTCTTATTGTTCTCTTCCCGTCCCCAGCTTGGATTAGGGAATTAGACCCAAATGCTTGGAATTACACATATGCGTGGTCCTCCCTAGGTTCTTCCGCTGTTTGCCTCCTTTCCTCATTGTCAGCAATAATTCACTATCTTTATGTAAGAACAGTGATAGTACTTCAAACAATCAAATGAGTCACACAGGAGGACTGCCTTGCTTAGCTTTAAAATGGAGCCTCGATGATTTGAGTTAGCATTATTTTTCTTTGACAGACAACAACTCCAACAGGCAGCTACGGAGACTGCCAATTGTCAGTTGGTGGTGCCAGTGGCAGTAAGCAGCACCTCATTGATGCGACGCGTGCGCCTCACAACGAAGTGGTGAGTCAAGTTCTTCGCACCTCCGCCATTACTCACCGCTCCGCCTCGCCTCCACTATCCTCCGTCACAAGTCAGTCCTCGATCACTGCAAATCTGTTTGTTGATCCACCCCTTATCCATCATTCGCCTATTCACGCAATTATCTATTCATCGTGAATTCAGCTATTCTTCATTCACATCTAGTCTATCCTGAGCAATCACATGAGGATCAGGTGTTTTGTTCTTTTTTTATTTCAGTAGAATGTAGCACACATTACATGCGGTAACACGTCATAATATTTAAACTGCAAAAATATTGATGAAATCTATGCTAAACGCAAATTAGTGTGCATGGAGATGAAACTCCCCTTTTGCTCGAATCGGTAGCATAATAGTAGCGTTCATTCTTTTCTTTCACTCTAGTCGTCGCCAACACGAGCACGTGTCCTTTTGGATAGCCCTTTGGAGCGGTAAATTCTTGTAGTCGCAACATTGCGATAGGCCGTTCGTTGGGTGATGGTTTTCTTCTTGCTCTTGACAATGATGTTGATCTTAGAGATTTTAAGATCGAAAGGAGGAGGGATTGTAGTCTCTTCACCCACTTATCGTGGCGAGATACTTCCTCTTGCATTTGCTCAATACCTAAATGTGTGAGTGCTTATGGTATCCTCTTTTCTCCTTTTTGTTACTACCACTACCACTTCTATTGAAGCTATTAATGCCACTACTCTGGTCTGCTATTAGTAGCATTTATTTTTGTCCCCATCCACCTGCTTACACTGCGCCGTGCCCGTGTCGCTCCCCAGATATATCGGAGCAGCCTAGAAGGCACTCACGCACCCGCTATCACTATTCTATTTGTTTGTTGCCTCTTCCTTCCCTTCTTTAATTTATTTTGCCACGAAAATGAATTTTTATGTGCTATGTGAACGATCTGTCTCCATGTGTCTACCCCCGTCTCTCCATATCCTTTCTCTCACTTTTTTGAGCGTTATTTAAGTCTTTTTACTGGAATTGAATAATCTTATTCTAGACATGTGACGCTGAAATTGGTCACTATAAACTATAAGAGAAGATGGGAGCGTGTAATTGTGTAATATGTAGCGACTGAAGAGTTTATGTGATTACTGGGAATTGGCAAGAGCTACTAATGTTCTGTAAAATGCAAAAAAGGGGGTGGGTATTTACTCGCATTTCAGGGCAGAAGATGATTCTAACTTCGGAGCTGTGTCGTCTTAAGGAGCCGCTTTTTTCCGCTTTGGGTGTGTATGACTGGTCATGCCCTCAATACTTCTAGTCCCTTTGCGGTATAAACCTCCTAAAACATCACTAGAGGTGAACATAAAACCCCAGAACTTGTAATAAATGGGCACTCAAGGGATATTTTTTGGGATAGAAATTTCCGCACCACCTTCATTTCCGCTCGTGAGTCAAATTTGATGGGTCTATCGGTTGTCGTTAATCGTAAACCTAACACGGCTGAATGCAAAGGAGACTCGGAAGTCCGAGTGGGCTTAGATGCGTGGATTTCCTCGATCGATGCCATTGAGATGGGTTTGAGATGGTTCGCCTAGATTTGAAGATGGTAGACGAATCTCTTTATCTTCGTATTGATAGCACTTGTGAATCTGCAAATTGTCCCACGTTAGCTTTACAACTCGTCTTGAAGTGAATTATTTCAGTGTAAATACTCATAAACCAACAAATTTGAAGCATAAAAGTGTCAGTTGGTATCATTGGAAACGTTTTATGCAATTTATATCCTTCATGTTCGCTTTATTCATCTTAGCCATTGAAGGTTAATTTCGGCTTTATTGTACTGCTGATATTCTAAAATGGAGGAAAGCACTGAATCGTTGATGCTTTCATGTCTTAAACGGAAACTGTTTTCAGAAAACTTCTCAGTTAAGTGTTACTCCGAAGTGAACATTGGCTACTTTGTATCTAATATACGCTAGTAAGCTATCAAAGGGCATGCAGTCAACAGAATGGACTCGCAGACGTGTTTTATTTTAGATGGGAATAGGCGGGCCTGTGGTTCGCTTACAAGTTTGACTGTGTTATCGTGCGACCATCGGCTCGTATGAATTTCACCGAGTAATTAGAATAGATGTGAGTTCATGAGTCTCCTAAACAGTTGAATTTAATAGCGGATTTTAACTATTTGACACTGAAGCCATAATAGTAAAACTGATCCGTAGGAGCACTGGTTACCGTTTGGACTAACTTAAAACAATTGCCCAGTCCAGTAGCCAATGATGTCTCAACATCTGCGGTGTCAAGATTAAAAAGTTGACGATATCAGCGAACCTCTTCACACCAACACCGCGTCTGCGTTGTCGTGTGGAGAAACAATGGCAACAACTGCATAATTACTATCACCGATTGCCCACCTCGACTTCCACCTACTTCGGTGGCAGCGGTGAGATCAACTGTTTTGCCCATTGTTGTCCACTCCTTCTCCCCTTAATAACGACGACGACGTTGATGATGATGGCAATGACAATGCTAGTATTTTTGCTACTGTTGCTGTTGTTGCACACAGTCTTCTTTCTTCTGTTGTTGTCGTTGCCAAGACCTATGACAATGATGATGATGGCACATGCCAATGCGAGTAGCTAGGAAGCCATTGCTACGCATGGGCCCGATAGACCAGGTGGCGATTCGGACACGGTGAAGCGGGTGAACACGACGTCGAGGCGAGTAGTCGCATTTAGGTGGATGTAAAGAGTGGTAGGGGAGAAGAGGAGGAAAAGCAGTGCACTAGGCGGGACTCGAACCCGGGTTGCATGCACAGGAGGCATGCATGACACCGCCACACTATTGGCGCAACGAGCCTGCGTTCAGGACCATTACCACTATTATTATTGGTATTATTAGTAGTAGTATTATTATCATCGTTCTGCTGCCATCTCGTTGCGCGCATCCCCACTTCCACTTGCCTTTGAATCGGCGGATACATTATCATCTCTCCACTACTCTACACTTTACATCGAGCCGCTATAAGTAGAAGCGCGGTGTGATTATCGGATAAGCGCAGAGGCGAGGCAAGATGGAACGGGAAGGACTGGGAGGGGCGGTCGCTCGCGCCAGTGTGGCAAAGTGGTCTAAGGCGCCGGGCTCAGGTGAAGGTACTTCCTGGGAGTTCGGGTCCTCCAGTGAGGGCGTGGGTTCGGACCCCACCGCCACTGTCACCACTGTCGGTACCACTTTGGAGGTGGGAAGGGCATGATGAGGGCCCCTCGAGAGAGTAGTGGGTAGGACGAGGGCGATTTTGACAGATAATGGTACGAGGACACAGTGGAGGGAAGGGGATGCACCAGCTCGATTGCAGGTCGCGAGACAGACAGCCCGCACCACCGCCCTCGCTGCCAACGCCTACAATGGGAGAATCCACAGCCAGGAGAAGAGCAAGGTACGGGACACAAGAGGCGCAACATGGCATGGAGATGCCGGGGGTCGAACCCGGGGCCTCTTGCATGCAGAACGAGCGCTCTAAAACTGAGCTACATTCCCACCTCCTTCCGTGTGTAAAGCAGACATGACAACTACTACACCAACGAGCTAACAGAGCACCTCTTAAATTTTGCTTTTTGCTATCCGTTTGGCTTGGCAAAGATTTGTTGTTAGTCTTTCCACTCCTACGTCTTTGTTTTTTTAAATAATAATTTTATGTTACTTTATGCATATTTTTTTAGGTTTTTGAACTTTTTGTTTTAATTTACTCTGGTGCGGCGGTTGGCTACCTTTCCTCCCTTATGATATGCCGATTAGCCTGGAATGGCCGTGTGTTTATTAATCTTTTTTTTGACTTATTTACTATCTTTTTTTTGGGGGGGGGGGTTTGTTTCTGGTTTTTGTTGCATTATTTGTTTTTCAAAACTTTAGGACAAGCGTCTCGTCTTGGGTTACGTTAAGCAAAGTGCCGTCCATAATCGTGCAAGTTCACACCTCTAATTTGATTTCTTTATTAGCGCTTGTATGCGATGTTTTCTCCTGTGTATGCTTCAGCCATTGCTGCTCCTGCGTTCCCTCTGATATTTGATATTCTCCACTACTTTTTTACCTTAGTTCTTAGGTATTTCTGCGTGTGTCTCGTTTTATCCTTGTAATTTAATGCAAGCTTCTTTGCTTGTGTGTTTTAACTTAGCAGATTTTAGAAGAGGATCGTTGTTGGCGTGAGTACAAGAATCGACAACGTGACAGAGCCAAACAGTACCGTCGGATGTCGTCACAATCGCCACCACTACTGCTGCTGTCTCGTAGTGACTCGGCAGAGCGTAAGTGGCGTCGTGAGCGTAAGCGTAAGTTGGAGGAGAATTCCCAAATTACCGCCTCCGCGGCTGCTCCCACCACTGCCATCGACTTTTGGCGCCAAGTCGTTCGTTGCAGCGGCGACAACGAAGGTCGCTGGGGTCACGACGGGTTCAAGGAACTCGAGAAACCTGGCCCTCCTGCCTCTCTATCAATCGACATGCGATTTCAGTTGCATGCTAATCTTTCCTCCCAAAAGTTACCTTCCTCTGCTCCTAATGTTCCCCCTTCACCTGACAAAACCTGGCTTTCTTACTCGTCCTCGACTTCCTCGTCTTTGGTCTCCGAAAGGGTCCACAATAAACGAAAAAAGAGGAGTAAGAAGGCGAAGAAAGAGAAAGAGAAAACGAAGAAGATGAAAAGACAGACAAAGAAAAGGAAGCTTGAGTATAATTCCTCCTCCTCTTCTTCACTTTGCTTCAGCAATGACAGTAGTCAAGACGTGGAGTGGGTTGAAAAAAAAACGTGATGTATTTTTGTCTATGCACGTTTCGTTATTTTCTTGTCCTTTAAATATTTCCTGCATATTGTCATACCCTTGCCTTAGCTATCTGGGCGTGCTTCTCCCTCTGGGCATGTCGTTTATACATTCGCGGCAGTCAAGCTCCTTACCTTGGGAGACAACTTACAAAAACCAGATAGGTGAGCTTGCGTTCCAGTGGAAAAGGACTAAGGGTGGCATCGACGCTCCAGCGAGCAGAGCATACCAAATTCCCCTAAATCATCCTTAACCATAACGATCACATAAGTCCACGCGGCAATCCCACAATATCCCAGCGGTACAGAAGACTAGAACCAGCTAACAGTGGAGTCCTAAGCACCGCCTTAGGTCTCGCACTCACACAGGTGTGCACTGCGCCAGAGGAGCGGCCTACACGAGTTCTGTGAACGTCAATCCAGTAACAAATTAGATGCACTCAAAGCTACTTTCGAGCAGCAAAACTTCATTAGAGGCTTGAAGGGGAAACCATTCTCGAGGTATCCCAAAGGCCAACAACCCCGGTGAAGGCTGAACGTACCACACTGAGTAGGGGCACGAGGTTCCCATTAGCATAGACCAAACGCAGATAGAGGCATCAAAGTGCGAATTCCCCAACTAGAAAATAAAACTCCCACACTCGTCTGGTACATTTAGATGTAATCTGTAAGGGCTACTGATAATGAGTATCACGGGTCCAGCGAAGGCTATCTTAGGGCCACAAAGTGAAATAACCATGATATGGGTCTTATACAATTCAAAATAGGCCCTCCACGGCTAAGCACCGGGGGTAATTGAGGCAAACTCCTCAAGAGCGCGTCGCAGGAGGGTGAGGTCGACGCCATTGGGAGCAAGCACAGCATGAACACCGAGACTACCCACCTCACGGATGTTGAAGGAGAGATCGTCAAAGAAAAGCATCTGGTAGAAGGGAAGACCGGACCTTTTGGCGAGTCTAGACAAAAGGTTAATTCAGAAAGAAGCAACTTACGTCTCAAAGTGTTTCACCTTGGATACAGGGTAGATCTCCACGTAGTCGAAGTACTTGTCCCACCCAAAGAGCTTTATCAGCTTGTGACCTACTCTTGGAGAACTCGTCCTACAAACGTCACCGATTTAACTAACCGGTCAATCAGCTCGTCAGATAAACAGATCGTCGATGGGAACATACATTGAGGCAACACCCAATTTGACGTCGGGTTCCTCCTTTATTCGGCGCAAGACTGTTTCAGACTGAGGGTATGGTTTAACTGTCACATTCGAACCGTCATAAACAATCCCATCTCTAAGCAAACAGTTGCACAAACAGCTTCTGATTGAAATTACTTTTTGTAGAGTTTTGATTCGTAGTAGTCATCACAGTCAAAGGGCCACAACGTGCAGTCTGAAATAAAGCAAAGCCAAAAGGCCCATATGGAAGTTAGGTGAGACAATTTAGACACAGATAACGTATTACACAACCCAGAGCACTGCCTAAATGACTAAAAGAACAACCAATTCAGAATGTGGTTTACCTAGGTCGAATACGATCAGCCCCGGTTTACGTGACAAGGATGAAAAAACCATTCTCACACTAAGCACTTTACTGAAAAGTGCGCCCTTAAGATGGTTTACATAAATACACAAATTGCCCAAATTTCCACTAAAAAGGGGCTTTTATTGATTTTTGTACCCGCGCCGATAATCTTGTTTCCACAATTTACTATAATTGTGAGGATGAGCTGTGCACTTTTCTCCTGACATTTTCCTAATGATTCACGTATTGATAACCATGTACAAAACAAAAGAATAAAGGAAAAAGGCAAAATTTTTTACTCCAAAATTTACAGCAAGACTTGATTTAGTTTGCGGATTCTGTGGCCATGGTAGCATATTGAGAACAAATTCGAACCTTCAGTCCAAATATGCTGACCCCATGCCGCACTCGCTCGGAGGGACTTCACGTCCTCACTTTTGTTTCTGATTGAAAGATAAAGGTGTGGGAAAACAAAAAAGGACAAAACTAACAAATTCAACTGAGTTGGACAGGCGCAATAAACTGCCAACACAATGTCCTTTAAATAAAGCCTAGTATCTTAGGTAAACAATTAACTGTTATTTGGTACAACCAAAACTGGCAGGTTTATTTTGATAGACCTGGACATGTTTGTAGCACGCACCTAGCTGATCTCTTCTACCCTGGTCTTCATACCTTTAGAACACTGTTTTGATATATTGATTGCTTAGGGAAAATGGTGATGGATACAAGTTAAGGGAGATTTGGACATTGGGCTATTCTCTGCCATGGAAGATGTTGACCGCTCCCTACTCACGAGGTAGGATTCGACTACTCTCCTCTCAGCTAAAAGGAACATTTAAACACCATGCTTATTACATGTTATTACCTTGGGTCATATTGAAACTGTGGGCAAATGGTATATTTACCTCTTTTCCTATAAATAGGCAGATTTATTTAGTGAGTTTTTGATTATTTTTTACAAAAATTTTGGATGATGCCTGAACTCTTATAGTTGTTTTACGTTTTGATACTAAATGAAATTTCCCTGGTTAAGACCACGCTTCTCATATAAACATAGAGTTGGGAATACCCATAAGGGAACGTTCTATGAACCAATGGAAGAGCAGGCAATCAACTCACTTTTTAGGCTCCATAAAGTATCGTCGGTGTTGATGCTTTGAGTAAAAATGTAGTACAAGACGATAAAATTCCCCCCAAATGCTAGCATCCAATTAATTCTCTTTGAGCAATGGTTGCAAGTTCGGTCTCTAATAAACCCTTATTTTATTACGGGAGCAAATATGCTGTGCGCCACTCCCATGGAAATAAACAAGAATTTTCCCTTCACCTTAACACTGAAAAGTCCATGTTCATTTGCACAGATAATTTCCTCAGTTTATTAAACTCGGTTTCGCAGTCACCGAACAACCCGGTTTTTCCCTGAAGAAGTCATATGTTATGCCAGCATAACAGACGGTTCATCATTTGCGTACCACTGGGTTCAGAGGCTGTGACTGTGAATGAATGTCCATGATGTCGAGATGTTAAGAAAACTAGGAAATTGAATAGGTCATGGAGTTAAGTAGTTCATTACATTCCTACAGGCATTTGATCACCACCCCAAAAAATTTCATTTATCAATCATTTCATTATGCCGTGAAAGAAAATTGCCTATTTAATTCGCTCTTTTTTTAACTAAGACTACTTGGAACACAGGGGTGGACAATTTCTTTGGTATTTTTTCGGAAAATAGCTATTTCATGGCAAAAACCTAAGTTAAGTTTGTACGTGCTTGAGCAGCGGCAAGAACCATAATTAAGTTTCGTGCGCAAATATTTATATGCAGTGGCACAAAATTACAGATGCTGAATTAAGTGTTCAATAATGAAAAAAATTTTATGTCTAAATACCACCAATATTTTATTATAGGAGTTGTCCCTGGTGGTAGCTTAAAAAGGGCTGAGTTCTGATGCAGATTTATTATGTACGCGAAGAGGTGATGATGGGAATTTGCCAGAAAGCACAGGGAATGGAACATCGTCTTATTAAGGTGATAGTTGACGCCCGCCGTGGAAAGTGACGAGACGAACAAAATTTAGCGCGTTACCTTGACCACATTGGCTCCCTCCACTATATTTTACCATGCTTTGATTGCAAAAACTAGGCGATTCTTTTAAAGTCACGAGATAATTGGGAACTAAAGATTGTACATTGGTTTTCTTTTTCGAAGAATAAAGGAATCACTTAATCGTAGAGCCAAAGGGCACCCCGTCAATTCCGTGGACTAACAGGTTTTGTTTCTTTCGGACCTGTACATTGGAAAATCACCAGTTTTGTGCTACTCAGGGCAGACTAATGCTCTACGGAGAGCGCCTTTTGAGAGTAAACTCTAGTCATATGAATGCTTACCTAATAGTATAGCCATTTATTATTGCATTTTATTAAGGCTCTATAGGGCTACTACTCAGTACCCATTTCCTTTTGCTACCTTACCCGCAGTTTGGTCCTTTCCACTTGGCTAATATAAGGATACTTCCAATTTCTTTCGGGGAAAATCACATTTGCTAGCAATGCAAAATTTCATCCTTTGAACAGGGGAAACTAGAAAATCGTTCTATTCTTTCCTTGTTTTAACTGGTAATATTCATAGTGCAGACGACATTGGCGGTGCCGCTCTCTCCAAAGCCGTGCTGTATCTAATTTAAAACATGACAAACGCAATATTGGGAGAGAAATCACAGGATTTCCGTGGTAGATTTTAACTCAGCGCACAATGTTCTTTTACGCAACAAAAATAAAAGGTTGGGATAAGAACGAGAATGGATGTGCACATCTTAGTAGCATTAGTAGCTTGCTCTGGGATTGGTAGCGTCTGATGCAATCTACATACACAAGCAGGTAGGCTATTGCAATGTAATTTCATCTACACAGCAAACTTTCTGCTCACTAGTCAAATAGAAAAGATGTGTTATATCTACAAGCCTGGAAGAAAGTTCTTATAGAAGAACCCATATTCTGAGTACAATGGCGTCACAACCTGTTTTAATTGAATAAAAGATGGGAGTAATTCGTTAAGAATGCACTGCAGTGAACCCCCTCTACAGGCTCATCAGTCTCTGCAAGTTTATTGCTGCCTTTGTAGCATGGCCACCTATCTGTGCCTATGACTTTTTAGCCCTATGAATCGTTCCCCTGAAGTGGGGTATCTACTAGTTCTTTGGAGATGACCTTGGTCGAAATGACTCTAAAGTGGATGCACTATTCAGGACTCCCAAGCAGCCCAGGAGCATGCACTACTGCAAGCAAGTAAGACCCTTCAAAGATTTTAAATTTCGATCCTATTGCCTATTCCATCTCACGACTAATTAAAAGTCGTAAAGGGACTCGGTACTATCGGAGAAGATTAACCGCGAGCAGAGCCGCTCCAAAGACTCTATCACTGCTCTGGCAGCTTAGGTTTCCGATCCCTTTTGCCGATCCCAGCCCTCCTTACCCAAATAATAAATCTTTTTTCGTTAGAATATCATATTTCAACGCTAAAAATAGGAAAAATGATGCATTAGATAGCGAAGCAAGATAATGTCATTTTACCTACAGTAGTGAAACAGACCAATGAATAGAACGAATGTTAAAACAAATACTAGGCGACAGTCTATACAGGAAGCCACAGCAAAATAGTGCAGAACAGCACTATACTATAAGCCTTCACATCCACAAAAACACTCCTTCAGTAGCGCATTTATTATAAGGCGAAGGGCTAGTTGGTTTCATGATGAAGTAGAGCCATGAAAAATTTCACGATCACAGTCCTCCTCCATAAATATGCCTTAGCAGGACTAAAAGAGGAGCCGAAGTAGCGAGACCAGAGAATATTTTTGCGACATTTATATGGCTAAGATCATGGTCGTGGCTTTCGAGAAGTACCGGTATTGGCACCGAGGCATGTTGCATTCGTGTTTCTATGCTTTGTTTTTAGTCTTAAATGCAAACAACTTAACGCGTTTCTTGTCTTTGTCAACATTCATTCATTTTTCGGTATATTTTGTGGGAGGTCAATTAAACTACGCCTGCAACCAACCTTCAAGTAATTGCTTTGGCTAAGCCGCTCTATTGCTCAAAATTCATGGATTGGGCAGCAATAAAAATTTCAAACAGGTAGTGTATTTTAAACAATCCACAAGGCCCTATGCGAAGACCTTAGTCGAACCTCCTGTTTTTAAAAAAAACCCTTTATTGCAAGAACGGAAATGCTACAAGAAGTACGAGGATGGAAGAGTCAGAGCTGGCCTTGGAAGGTGCCTGAAAAATATGGTCACGAAGATAAAAATCCTTAAAGGTAGAACGAAGACAAACGATTTTACGGTTCAACAACTACTTCCATCTTAAAGTGTAGTCGTCAAATAACAGCAAAAATTTCTTTAAGTAAATAATGCATTAGCCACTTTTACGACGATATCAAAGTAATATTACCTAGATGAGATTAAAGATGCAAAAGCTGACAATTCCAGAGTCCAAATTGAAAAATCCTACTCTTGATGTAAAATAGTGAAACTGGATGCACAACAAGTGTTCAAAGCTGATTACAACAAGATAAGGCTTTAAACCACAGAGTGAAATAATTATAGAAGAGATTGTCCTCAGCGGAAGCCCAACCCTTACATTTAATCGAGTTATTACCAGTGGACTTTAAGTCCTCAAAAATTTCCTAAGAGTTTCATCAATTGTTCAACAAATTATAAAGTTATTCTTTGCCTTTACCAAAATGCCTGGTTTAGTTACCATAAAAAATTGGACCTATCAAAATTATACAGCTCTTCGAGGTTTCCCTAAAGACGAAAGAAGATATACTACTCGGGCAAAATATGCATCGTCGACGTACAGAAGGGATTAAGGCTACGGGTACGGCCAAAAGGCCAGTCCACCCAGCGAGATTACAATTGTGGAACCTCGCAATGGTCTCTTTACCAAAATCGGGAGTTAAAAAGCAGCCAAAGCGTTGCATAGCCCCGAGTTAGCCATCACAAGGTACTCGGTGTCATGAGGGAAACATCCACAAAAAAGGTCAGCTAATCGAATCTACGTACATCTGACGGTAACGTCACTGACCTTCTTTACAATTCTACTAGATCAGGAGATTATTGTTTCCTTATGAGAACTATTAAGGGAGGAAAGAATGTGCTGGCCATCACCCGTGTTCATAGCTAATCATTGGAACATTGGGCTTAAAGTAAAGTCAAGTAGCAAACGAAGAGATTTAAAAGTCACGTGGAGGTAAGTATTTACACCTATTCCTCCTTGCCACTTTATTACCTCATGGCTGCCCATTCATATCTACCTGGATTCTATTCAGCCATTAAAAGTGGATAAGGTATTGCGAATTCACATAATTGGTATCATAATACAGGAAAGGTAACAGCTACGTAACAAACTTTTTAGGTGCTTCACGGCTGGTGTTGCCTCAGTTGTTAATGTCTTTCCTGCGGACCACGTAAATGGAGTAGTTGCTGAAGGTAGACATCATTTTTAGCCCTTCTTCAGGGGTCGTCGCCGATTCTGACATCCGCAGCATATGCACTTCTTCCGCCCGGCCGTTTTACCACCCAGCTGTAAAAACAGGATAGATGCTTTTAGAATCAGGTTTGCTTTCCGCTACCACCACTACAACGCTCCGAGACCTTCCAGAAGACGAAGAATGACACAATACGCGGGTAAAACCTGCATTGTCAAACCACGGAAGGAATTGGCACTACTGGCAAGGCTCGAAGGCTAGCCCATCCTGTAGAGGTGCAATGGTGGGGCTTCCAAGTGACTCCTTCACCGAACCGAAATATTAAGCAAACATTCAACATATTGCGTGTCGATTATAAGGGGTACTGCTACTTATAACAACATTGTAAATAACAAGATAATTGTTGCTACTCATAGTATCGCTATGAGTTGCAATACAATTTATATATTTTTTAACCCATATTTTCGATGTTTATGTGCTTTTCAAACTGTAAAGACGGTGAATAATGCAAATGATATGAGTAAATTTGTACCAATTAGTTGAATTTATGGAGAGACTACAATTAAGGCGCCTACTTTTTACCGTCAAATTTTTAACAACTTTATAATACACTTTAGTGTTTTGGAGCTGTTATTCGTCATAGTAAATTTCTGGAAAACATAGTAAGAAGCCCTGGATAATCCGAAGGGTGATGAGACAGGATTGATTCTGCTGGATGACATATAAAACATAATTTTATACTTTCCAGTGTTTTATATTCTTCAACAGTACAAAGCAGGATCAACTATGGCAGACGCTGACGCAACTATTGCAATAAAGCTGGAAAGGAAAAATGTAGTGATTTTAAGTCCAGGCATGTTTAACTTTTCACAGTAAAACCACTCTAAATAACTCTCTAATGTACATTAAACAGCGAATAAAAGCGTGTTGAGCTTTCAACAAATCAGAGAAACGAGAATAAGCAACTTTATTACTTTATACCTTACGAAGGAAGGCATCACCCATTTTGTGTAACGTTCACGTAAATAGTAGAGCGATGGCTGTTTAAAGGAAAGAAAGCTTGCTTTTCAGTAGATGAGGATGCACAACAAAGGAAGAAAGCGCGAAGTGTTTGAAACTGGCAAACATTTTTGAAAAGCAAATAGATATTTAGAACAGTTAGCAGGATTAAACAAATGAAATTGTTGCGTTAGCCCAGAAACTCCGATTCATTGTCCAAGTCGAATAACAGTTGTACATTAGACTAGTGCGAGTTAAAAAGGTTAAATTCTCTCACATAGTGCTTAAGTCGATGTGATTAGTAAAATTTCGGCCACTACAAAAACTCGAATCAGTGGTGGGTTTGCTAAATGCGCATTTCGGCTATTAAATTTCATACACCAGGGGCCATTATGTATAATCAGGTCAAACAGTCCCGTGGTGGCCATTAATCCGACCCACTCATGCTAAATTAGGTTAAATTTATATCACCTCAACACTTATACCAGAGCAACACCAAACAGGGGGTAATTAAAAGTGGACCAACCCTTCTTCAAATGAAATGTCAAATCACCTATCCTGCTCCACAAATCAAACTACTCAATGCAATTAGTCTCATTCACTAATTAGGACTAAGCGGTTTGTGGTCTGATTTGAACTGAATGTTTGATTTCGGTAGAGAAAAGATTCGGGTGACTGGACACATCATCTACCGAGCTTCGTCCACAAACGAAGACGTAAGTGCACGCAGATGTCACTGATCCAACAGGCACTGGTTTTTCATATAAGATCATGGAAATAGTGTAAATGAAGAGCACTGTTTGACTAAAAATACAGCAACGAGGGCCATTTCTGAAAGAAGTTAATAAACCTTTGCGTTAGTTAGGCTAGAAAATGTGAAGAATTGATCTACACTAAAGGCGCTTACATCAACTGGATAAATACTTTTTGTATACTGGAATTTCGAATTGTAGTGGTACGGAACGAGAGTTGTTTTAATGGCATTTTTTTTATTAGCTATTCGTTTATGCTTACAGTGCCCTACTCCTTTTGTACGTGAATAAAGAACCTTACAATGTTGCATGCCTTAACGCATTCACAAAGATATCTCGGGGAGCTATATTTGTGAGAACGTTGAGCTATTCCGATCCACATTACCAAAGGTCCGGATTTCGTTAACTCGTTACCTCTCCTAAACGGCACACAAAGTGGGTATTTACCAAGGCTGACCGGATTTGCGAAGACCCACCGAAAAGAGAGCTATGGATTATAAACCACTTGGTTAATGATACCGTCTGTTTGGTACATATTCCTACGGGGAGCTATTAGCGTAGAGGAAGCGACACTCCCTAATTCCACTCACGAATGGAACATGAAGCACAATCTATCTTAGCTGAAATTAATTTTCACTTTTGTTTGCAGTTCGCGGTTGTTTACAATATAAAGGGTCGACTCCTTACGGTCGAGGAGAAAGAGTGGTGCCGAGTAGAGCCCTAAACAAGACTCAAGTAAAGGCTAAGGCTTTACCGTAATATGTATTTACTTTTATCCACATGAAATTTCACTGTCTCCTCAGACTATGCGGTTTTGATCATTGCCACAGTGTCATGGGATCCAATTCATAATTGTGGCTTTCCAGGCCCCTAAAAAGGAACCTCGGTTTTCAAGGACAAGCTTTAAGATCTACTTTATTAACTTTAGTTAGGTCAAATATTATAAGTAAAGTGGAAACCTTTCATTAGTGCAAGAAGAAAATACAGCTAACGAGTCTAAACAAGCAGATAAATAATAAAATACTATATTTTAGCATAGAATTGTAGTTACTCAATGGTTTTGTACCGTGGCTGAGTTTAAAAAAAGGAGAAAGGGCTTCCGGTATCACTGCTTCCTGTTTAATGACAGAAACGTTACGCTTCACACGCAAAAACCACCTTTTGCGATGGGACAAGAAGCAGAAATTTGCAAAATTATCATAAACTCTCTGCTCTGCTGAATGAGTGGATTTTTAAGATTTAGATTCTTACCACAGAATTATCACATTTAAACACCTCCCACCCTCTCACCAGCGCACCAGCACATTGGCCAACTTTTCCGCTCTTTTCCTCTTAATTCATTCATTCGCTTAACGTCCTAATACTTACTCAACTGATTATTCCTATCCAACTGGGTCTTCTGGCTGATATTCATAAAATGAT